TGAAGGGCAGAGATTATAAATTACCTATACTATGTTGGGGGCTCTTAGTGTAGTTGTAGGACCCCAAAACCCTGTTCTAATTATTAAGGTCCTAAACCCTAAACCCTAAACCCTAAACCCTAAACCCTAATTATTAAGGTCCCTATGTTAAGCAGCCGGAGAGATTCGGCTTCGGAGGTTGGCTTCGGGATGCTTGTTATAGCGCTTAGGGGGTTTGGGGTTTAGGGTTTCGGGGCTTAGGGTTTAGGGTTTAGGGGTTTAGGGTTTAGGAGTTTAGGGTTTAGGATCTAGGGGTTTAGGGGTTTAGGGTTTAGGGTTTCGGGGTTTAGGAGTTTAGGTTTTAGGACTTAGGGGTTTAGGGGTTTAGGGGCTTAGGGGTTTAGGGCTTTGGGGGTTTTGGGGTATAGGGTTTTAGCCTCGGGGGAATCTTCGGCTTGGCCTTGAAGGCTTTGAACCTCAGGTCTAGGGCCATAGTAGTCTGGTTAAAGTCTTCGGCATGGCCATGTGCACCTGCAGGCCAAACCTTCGCCGGGGTTTATAGGGTTTTGGGTTTAGGGTCAGGGTATGCGAGGGTGTTCTGAATATTCTGCGAAACGGGATCGAACCTGAATCTATACAGTTAAACTGCAAATCATCCGTGGCAAATGTTGGCAGGCTCCTCTCCGCTGCGGATTGCGATAGTATGCCTAAACCCGAAAGTAAGCCCCGACTGTAGCCTCCCAAATCGGTCTCCGGACCTGACGATAACCTGACAAAGGTGCAGCAGATCAGCAAAATAGACCATAGTTTACAGTGCCTCGGTGTGGGGCAAAAAGAAAGCTATTATCCCGTTTATGCTAACTCAGACATTTAATCAGTACAGTAGTGCAATTTGACACATGGTTCAACACTAGAAAAATTGCAAACCGCCGCCTGGATGTTGCCACGGGCATCCTCGACGATGGTAAGATCGCCGCTCTGCTCCGCAACCTGGAAAGCTCGAGATGTGCAAGCCTAATGTAGGGGCCTTAAAAAATTAGAATCAGATTTTGGTGTATAATTCTACTATAACTATACTAAGGAGCCCCTAGCATAGTACCCTAAACCCTAAACCCTAAACCCTAAACAGTATGGGTAATGAATTATTAAGGACCCTATATTATGCAAGAACAGCATCGAGGGAGCTCAATGCCTAAGGGTCCATCTACGCCTTTCACTTAAACAGGTTCCTGTAGAGTAACTCTAGCGTCAATATGTGTGTATATGGGTAGTTCTCTAAATTGAGCTTTTTTGGAATCCTTTCTTTGTAAGGATGCCGTACTATTTTGGGACCCCAAAAAGGGACCGTGATTGAGAGAATTACCCATATGTGCTATAAAGAACTGGCGATTTGCCGAAAGACCCTGCTCGTGCAGCTCAGGGACGCCAACGTCAGTGAGCAGGTCGAACCTGGCCAAGGGACGAAGGAACGGCACAAATCGAATCTCGCCCTAACCCCGCCAGGTACCTACTATAAAGGGTACTAGAGCCCCTAGGGCCATATATAGTAGGTACCTGGAGGGTTAGGGTTGCTTCAGACGAGTCATGCCCAAACCCTGACAAGTAGGTACAGTGAAGGCCAGTCCAGGTATGAGGAAGCAAGATCCAAAACTTGACTGATGTCGGGCCTCGATAAGTAGAATAGGGTCAGGGGGCCTTATTGTAGTATAACTGCATGATGTTATCATTTAATAAGAAACCCTCGGGAGAATATGGCTACTTTTTGAAGCCTCTACATTATAGTCATTGAGAACCCAGGTTGTCGTGTTGCGAGGAAAAGCTGAAATCTGGAAGTCGAAGCTGCGAAAAGCTTATAAACAGGTTTCGGCTTAGACCTCAGGGGTCCACGCTAGGGTTTAGGGTTCAGGGTTTACTTCAGGGTTAGGGGTCCATAGACTTTAGCATCTTTAGCGGTCTTGGTGGGCTGTCCACGCAGCACGGAGCCACCAAGACACTTGGCACTTAGTCGCCCAAACCCAAACAGGTCAACTATCGACTTTGACAGGAACTCAAAGGCACAAAAAGGTGACAGATTATCAACCCAAAACCCAAAACCCGAACCGCTAAATAAAGCGGAAAGCCCCAGTGTTAAGGCCCTGTCGTCGGAAAGCTTAAGGCCAACTCCTCGGAATGTTAGCAAACACCTAACGTCTTTCAAGACCAACGATTCTTCTCAGGGAGCAGTAAAACTCTAGGGTTTAAGGTTTCGTGTCTATGGCTTAGGGTTTTTTCGTAGGCGCAAGGCCTCAAAGGTATTTCAATAGCGGGGCTTTGCTGGGATTCGAACGCTGTGCGATACGGCTTCTATGCGGATTGATGAGCGCCTCCGGATCGCTAAGAATAGAAATTTAGTGTGGGATATGGGCAAAGCCTTTCCCTGTCGAGGAAGTAATGGAGAAAGATCCATGCAAGTGCTTAAATACTGTAAAGACTCAGGCGGCAGCGTTGCTGCTAGTTGAGCAGACGGTGTGGCATTCCCTGGGGTTTTAGGTTTTGGCTTAACGTCTATGCACCTGCTTTGGGGTCTAAAACCTTGAATGCTAAGTGGTACCTGGAGCAACAGGGTTGAAGCATGAACCGACGTGTGACATGATTAGCATTGTCCTGGTTGCGCCTGGCCAGGAGCACCTCTCAAGAAGCCAAACCCCAAACCCTAGATCCTAAGCCATAAACCCGAAGCCCTAAACCCTAAACTTCTAATTACCCACTTCAATACATCAAACATCCCCTGAACCCTAAAACCCTGAACATGAACCCTAGACCCTAGTACATCAAGAATCCTATCCGATCCTGACGCTCCGAAGCCTTGACCCCGACACCTACAACCGTGGACCTAAAGCCCTAAACTTATAAACCCTGGACCCCAAACCCAAAAATCGTGAACTCTGAAAGCCCTGAAACCCTGAACTCTAGAGACTGAAATGCTGAAACCCCGCAATGCGGAGGCGAGGCATCAGCTCGTTGTAGATCTCAACCTTAGGATGCTTCCGGGCTGATGTATTCGACTACAGCTGTCGGGGCTGAACATACTCTAATAAATAGACAGAAACAAACACATAAACCCTTAACCCTTAACCCTAAACCCCTAAACCCTAAAACCTATAGACTGACATGTAAGCTGCAAGGCTTGTTTCAGGGTTCAGGGCTTAAGGTTTAGCGTTTGCTGTGGAATAGCGCTTTCACAATTGTCTCTTGCGACAAGGTTGTGTCGAGTGTATCGTGCTATGGCGACGGGCTGCGAAAGCCTGTCTTTGAGGGCTTTTTCCTTATTTCCTTCCCACCCCATGCCGCCCTAAACCCTAAACCCTAAACCCAGGGCAGGGCAGGGCAGGGTTGGGGCTGGTCAGCTTTCGCGAGCGGTGCTTTAGCCACCCCAGAGTAGGTGGGCGGGCTATGCCTTGAGTTTAGGGTTTAGGGCTTACGGTTTAGGGCTTAGAGTTTAGGGCTTAGGGTTTAGGGCTTCGGGCTTCGGGCTTAGGGTTTAGGGCTTAGGGTTTAGGGTCTAGGGTTTAGCTAGGGCATCAGGCTCTTGACCTAACATTCTAAACCCGGAACCCCAAACCTTGAAGAATGGAATTCAGGGTTCAGGTCAGCGGGTCACACTACGGCTGATGATAGAAATCCTGCATGACCCATAATCAGGAATGTACCACAATTCCCATAGGTTAGGGTCCTTAAGTTAAGGTAGTGCCAGATTTATATCATCAATAGTATATCCTATAGGCTCTACCAACCATGTAGAAGCGGATAAACAACCCTAAACCCTAAACCCTAAACCCTAAACCCTAAACCCTAAACCCTAAACCCGGGACCATACCGGACTCCGGAGAGATGGGGACCCATCTAGGTTTGGCGGCTTCGGCGGAAAACCCTCAGCATCCAGACAGCTAAATAAATTCGGTTTAGGGTTTACGGTTTTGGGTTCGGGGTTCTAAGGAGAGTTGGGAAGGAACATATAGATGGGCTTTATGGTACGGGGGCTTTAGTGTCTGGCGCTTCGGGTTTTGACACAACTGACGTTACAGTGCGCTTCTGATCGCATGTTTAGTATCTTGGCTTCAGTGTCTTTGTTTCAGGGTTTGGAACATGGGGATATCTTCTTCAAGATTTGGCGTATACAAAGCCTACAGTAAACCTTTGAATGTATTGTGGTCCTTCAAAGTTTCAGCCTGTTCAGAGCCCAGGGCTTAGGGTGACTCTACGGGTAATATAGGGGCCTCACCTAGGGTTTTGGGCTTTCGGGTGTGCAGGCGTCTTGGACTGCAGGCTTTCAGCTTGAGAGTCTACGCCTTGAAGCTCCAGGGTCACCTGAAACAATAAGCGCCTAAATCCCCAAAGCCCTGAACCCTAAACCCCTAAACCCCAAACCCCTTAACCCTAAAATTCTGAACCCAACCCCTGACCCCCAACCCCTGAACCCCGAATCCTTAACCCCCAGAACCCTTATATAACCTAAGCCGAGACCGCTGCGTAGGAGAGCTTAATGGTGATGTTGTTCTCAGGCCTCGCAGCTGCCTGTGATCAGAAGGCTCTGAGGGTGGGATGAAGGTAGGTGGGGCAAACCCAAAATAAGAGTCCTGAGATAAAGGACCCTGAATCCTACATAGTTTATGTTCGTTTTCGTTTAGGGTTTAGGGGTTTGTGGGTTTAGGGTGTATGGGAGGTGATGGGAGAAGCAAGCTGAGTCTCTCAGAGGGTGCTACTCCTGTCTGCTTCACGATAGGTTGAAGGCTTAAGGGTTTAGGAAGTTTAGGGTTTTGGGCTTAGGGCAGCGCACTGAGACCCGTATTATCCATGTCTATGAGAGTCTATGATGCAGGTTTGATCCACCTGCTGAAGTGCAAAGTGTCCTAAACCCCCGAACTTATAAAGGGCAAACGGATCGACTATCCGAATCTCCTCCTACGGTTGAACTGACAGTTACACTAAACCCTTAGACCATTAGGCCCTATAAATCCGAAGCCGTATTCTGCGCGGCGAATCTCAAAACATCCGGTGGCTTAGTTTCAAAATCGAAACAGAAACAAATTGAAATATTGATAGTAATGATCATCATGGTTAACAAATGAGAATGTCGAGGATCTGAATTGAGCCCGAAACGCCTATCTCGCCAAAAGGAAAAAGGCGTGAGCCCAAAAAGCCGAACCAGGGCCTCCCTCACCTGAACTCGTTGAAATCCTGATGGTTTTGGGTTTAGGGGCCTAGGGCCTATAGGGTTTAGGGTTCCTGAAATCCTGACGCTCTTCCTCCGAAGCAAGTAGAGGGTTTCGGGAGCCTCTAACCCTGAAGCATTAGCATTCCTCCCCCCTCCCCTCACCCCAAAACATGGCGCAAAATCATGGCCCCAAGGGCCTCCGAGTAAATCGCCGAAATGGCCCTTGGCACGATCCCACGGTCGGCGAAGCCCATGTGCCCGCCGGTCATCTGCGCGAGAATTGCAGGATAAGAGGTCTCGGCTTAGGGTTCAAGGTTTGGTGTTCGGGGTGCTGGCATAACGTTTATTTGACCAGATGGCCACCAGACCCCCCTGGGATGATGCACAAGTCGTGGATGTCGGGATGCCGTCGGGGATCGGTTGTTTGGCGCCCCTCACTGTAGGTCACCTGAGAGAAGACCCATCCAAGCGCCCTTGCTGCGACCGCTGCGTACTTCACGCCACACATGTGGGCGGAAATTTCGAGATGATGGCGCTAAGGTATGTTCCTCTGCTCTTCAAGGACGCGTAGGCAGCTTGGCTTCTGTAGTTGCAGCAGTACCCCGACGAGTACACGCTCTCCGCAGTGAGGGCTGGTTCTCTTCTAGACAGCGCCCTCTGTACTTCGCTCTCGTAGGTTCGGACCTTTTCGTCTCCAAGCTCAGGTTATTAGGGTTTAGGGTTTATGGTTTAGGGTTTAGGGTCATGGGAAGTGACTTGGGAGGATGCGCCAACTCGGAATACTGAACTGAACTGCGAAGTTGGCCTTCTTGCTCATGCGGACCTTAAGGCATCCAACGCCAAGGGCCCAACTCGTTCCAGCAGAGCAAGTGCCCCCCGCTTCATTCTTGCCCCTCGTCGGAGGTTCTTCCAAACCCTAAACCCTAAACCCTAAACCCTAGACCCTAAACCCTGAGAACTTGAAGGAGCTTGAAGTGGGGCTCTCGTGTTGCCAGCTGCGGCAGCTGCTGGCCACCTTCTCCGGTGGCCAGGGAGGGGTCTGGGAGGTCGAGTTGAGGGTCCGCACCCGGCGATGCGAACCCTCCGCTTCCCTCGCCATCCTCCCTCCTGCACTCTTATTCGACTCCTTCCCCGAGTCGTAGAGGGTTTCGGGTTTGGGATTCGGTCATTGAAATCATGGAATGTACCTACATCTACTCTCCAATGTAAGTGTAGTTCATCCTAGGTTAGCCAGTTCTGTGGTGTCCTCGCCAGGTGGGGAGGGGTGGGCTTAAACTTAAACCCTTGCAAAGCTCGCAAATAAATATACTAATTACGATATACCCCAAAAACTGTTTCCCCAAACCCTAAACCCCGAAACCCCCAACCGGGCCCCAACCCCTAAAACCCCAGACCCCTTAACCCCTAAGCCCCGAAATCTCAGACCCCTAAACCCTAAACCGTTACGGCACCATAAACCCGCTCCGAGGGGAGTTCTAGTAATCTCGGATGGATCTCATCCTTTTAGTCAGAGATTGAAGAAACACAGGGTTTAGGTTTTTTTAGGGGCTCAGAGATCAGGGTTAAGGGGCTTAGGGGTTTGGGGTTCAGAATTTAAGGGTTTAGGGTTTAAGGGTTTATAGGGTTTAGGGAAGGGTCCTGCGTGTAAATAAATTTGAACATGAACCCCTTACCCAACAGGGTCCATGCACACTACTATAATGGAATTGGGCCACAAAAGAACATCCCTATTATGGTTTTGGGGGCCAAGTTAGAGAATAGTGTGTGTGTATATATATATATATATAGACCCTCTTGGCACTGTGTTTATGTGGCCCTGTGGTTCGGTGCCGATGCAGTGCTTCCTTCGGAGGGTGCGTTTGCGGCTTAAGGCTTAGGTTTTAGGGTTCAGGGTGCTTAACACAAGAACCGTATAGCTTCACGCCCATGAGTCTGAGTCGAGTGATCTGACCGAATTATCGCAGATTGCAGGAACTTCTCCCACGGAGGTCTAAATAAACGTTAATGAGTCCCCCTCCGACAACCCTATGCTTGTTGGGAAGAAGCTATCTATCAATCGTCAACCCGGCTAAGCCCAGAACCCCTAAACCGAAGACTGGGGATGTGGGGCCAGTTTGGGGTTTGGGGCGGCTTCGGCATATCGATTACCTGTAGTCTCTTTTTGTAGTTTCTTTTTCTAGTTTAACCCTTGCAATTACATATTACATACATATATATATATATATATGTATATGGGATCCTGAAAGGTAACCCAAAATAGGAGCTACGATGGAGACTATAGCTAAGTCTTGTTGAGCACACCTTATTGTGATTCTTGTGTTAGCCCTAAGCCCTGCGGCGGGCCGTGTGTGTCTTGCCAGCACCCGTCTGGCCATAAGCCATTACGGTGCCGTTGTAGCCGTCCATCACAGATCGGACCACATCCTGGCACGAAGGGCTCTAAAAGGGTCTTACGAGGCTGTCGTTCGAGTTGGAGAAGAACCCTATAAGGGTTATGAAGGGGTATGCGGCCCTGGCCCCAAACGTCTGCAAGGCATGGTTTACCACAGACCCGTGACCATACACACTCACCACTAAAACTAAAAACCTCAAAACAAAAGCATAGTCTTCGGAACGTCAACCCCAGAACTCTCAACAAAGACCTAACTAGCCTGGCGGCGCGGAAAATTTATCCCTCTTGCAAGGCATCTCACAAATGCAGGCATGAAAGAAGCAACGAAAACAAACCCGGGCCAAGAATTCATGGCAAGGAAGTGCATTCCCAATGTTAAAGAATCTTCAGAACAACTCCGATTTCCTGAACCCTGCACCCCTGAAGCACTCAGCAAACTCAAGAACCCTGAACCGTACAGCCTCTCTCCTTTCAAGGGCCCCTTATACAACAAGCTCAGAAGAGTTATTGTCCAAATTGCCAACGAAACCTTGCCAAAACCCTAGATTCACCTAATGAACCCAACATGCAGTTAGATAAACTCTCGTTGGCTCACTGAATCCGTCCCGCAACTCTAATACTCCAAACCGTCAACCGTCAACCCTCAAGCCGTACAGCCTAAACTCTAAACCCCCAAAGTAAACTCCAAACCCTCAAACAGGAAACCCTAAATCCTGAACCGTAAATCTTTCTGGGACCCAGACGCCCGAGCAGAGGTCATAGACCTGCTCTTGAGAAGCGTTGGCCAACACCTGCGCAGCACCGACTCGAGACTTGGCTTTCTTAAGCTTCAGGCTTCCATAAGGCTTTAGACTGTATAGGGCTGGTTGAGGGTTTAAGTTTTGCGTAGCATGCAATACGCGGGCATGCGTTTGGGCTTAAGGTTTAGGGCTTTCGGGTGTTATGTACTGCTTGTCTAGGTTCTTGAGTGACCCCTACTTTTCCCTAATGTTCGGTTTTAATCAGGAAAGCCAAATAAAAGGGCAAAAGGGTACTACTCAGGAACCTAGTTGTGTCTGTATATGGTGGTAAGCGCTTTGGGGGCGGTAATTATCGAGGCCCCTACATTAGGCCATCGGCTGCCGTCGAATCATACCTAATGGCTTCGAGCTCAAGAGTTTGAAGGGTCTTCAAATTACAGGGCATCGGCTGAGGGTATAGGCGTGTATTATAAATAGTAATAGTAGTAGTAGTAGTAGTAGTAGTAGTAGTAGTAGCAGTAGTATTATTAAAAATCATTATCACCATCATCGTCATCGTCATCGTCGTCATCATTACTACTCATAATCAGGTTCGCAACAGTAAAATCAATGAAGATAGTGCCAACAATACTAATCGTAATGAATGTGATGACAAAAGCAATAACAGAAAGACTAGTAATGATAGTAAGAATGATGATAGTACTGAAAATGCTAAGAGTAAAAACCGTGAAATGACTGAACAGTCGCAATAATGCTACAGACTTCAAAAAGATAGATAGATAGATAGATAGATAGATAGAAAGATAGAAAGATAGAAAGATAGAAAGGTAGGTAGGTAGGTAGGTAGGTAGGTAGGTAGGTAGGTAGGTAGGTAGGTAGGTAGGTAGGTAGGTGGGTAGGTAGGCAGGTAGGTAGGTAGGTCAACTTTCATGCTCTGGGTCTGAGTCATGCCCAACCTGCTCAGGCATACGAGCCCTATACAATCCAGCGTCTCTGAATCCAAAAACCGCAGATCCCCAAACCCTAAGTCTAAATCCCACATGGACCCTAAACCCTAAACCCTAAACCCTAAACCCTAGACCCTAAACCCTAAACCCTAAACCCTGAACCCTAAACCCTAGTTGCCTTGTCGAGCTTAAAGTGCCAGCTCTCTTGCTGGTTGTTGACCTTTGGTGAGACGTCGTACAGAGATTTTGGGTTCAGGGGTGTTTGGGGTGTCGGATTCAAGGAGAAGGTACTTGGAGGATCATGGGACTTAGTAAGTATGGTTAATATATAAGTAGTTATAAGTACAGTTACCCTAATAAAAACCTTAGTTACTAAGTCCCATGATCCTTTAAGTATGTGGTTGAGTTTAGGGCGTGGGGCAGCAGGTTTCGGATTTAGGACGTAGGGTTCAGTTCAGGGTGCAGGGTTGAGGGTTCAACGAGTTTAAAGGAGAGAGAGAGAGAGAGAGACAGATCTGGCATGCATATATACATATACGTACATACATATATATATATATATTTAGGTACATACGTACATACGTACATACATACATACATACATACATACATACATGCACACATACATACACACATAAACACAAACACACATACATGCATGCATGCATGCATACATACATACATACATACGTACATACATACAAACAGACATACGTACATGCATACAAGATGTACGCATATCTGTATATCTATATATATATATACTTACTTATTTATTTATTTGCTTATGTATGTATGTATGTATGTATGTATGTATGTATGTATGTATGTATGTATGTAGAGTGTATAGACGTGTATACAACGTAAACAAACACATATAAGCTTTTTACTTCTTTGCATTGACTGGACAAACGTTCTTCGGCTTAGTCGACGGCTTCGGGTTTGAAGGGTTTGGGAGCTGAGGGTGTAGGAATGCAGGTTTCTACATGTTCGGGTCTGGACATTACCCGGTCGAACCCACAGCAAGCTGTTCACTGCTGGTTCAGAGACCATGAACTGACTAGGTCAACGAAGCAAGGCTACATAGAAGAAGCCTAAACCCTAAGCTCGAAACCCCTAAACTCTAAACCCGAA